ATCAAAGGGAACATGAGAGGTCACCGAATTTGGGTGTTCCTACTTCTATCCATTTTGCTCAGATGTCAGAATGAGTAAACGTCCTTTCTCCATTTGGAGATCTTTAAAACAGTTCAGCCAAGAAACAATGTGGGTCTTTTATTGCTCACCCTACCCTTTGGTTGTATAATCGCCTTAAAACTGACAGTAGAATGTCAGAAAGCTTGCTGCTCCCTTTTCTGCTGAATCAGAGCCTTCTCGTGTTAAGCACACAAGTATAAATTACTGAGAAAGAAGTAAAAGAAAAACAGAAGCCAGGGGAAGACCACTATACTGTTACAAAGATTAATCCAAATGGTGTCTTTAACAATATGATATTTTAAAAAATTCATTGCTTAATTGGGGGGCTTGCAGTGACCAAGTGAAGCCAAGTGAATTGTTTCTGGGCTCAGTCTTCAGCACAGCAAAAAACATGCGCACACACACACACACACACACACACACACACACACACACACACACACACACACACACACTTGTGAAAGAAAACAGGCAAGCTTTCTAAAAGAACACAATCTAATCATTTTATTTCTTCCCTCCCTCCCTCCCTCCCTCCCTCCCTCCCTCCTTTCCTTCCTTCCTTCTTCCTTCCTTCCTTCTTCCTTCCTTCCTTCCTTCCTTCCTTCCTTCCTTCCTTCCTTCCTTCCTCTCTCTTCCTCCCTCCCTCTTTCTCTCCCTCCCTCCCTCTCTCTCCCCCCTCCCTCTCTTTCTTTCTCTCTCTTTCTCTCTCTTTTTCCCTCTCTGCCTCTCTCCCTCTCTCTTTTTCCCTCTCTGCCTCTCTCCCTCTCTCTCTTTCTCTCTTTCTTTCTTTCTTTCTTTCTTTCTTTCTTTCTTTCTTTCTTTCTTTCTTTCTTTCTTTCTTTCTTTCTTTCTTTCTTTCCTTCTTTCTTTCTTTCTTTCCTTTTTTCTTTCTTTGTTTCACCAGTCCTGAGACTTGAACTCAGGGCCTCCGTGATTTCCCTGAGCTTCTTTTCCTCAAGGTTAGCACTCTACCATTTGAGCCACAGTGTCACTTCCAGCTTTTCCTGTTTATGTGGTACTGAGGGTTTGATTAAACCCAGGTCTTCATGCATACTAGGCAATCACTCTACCATTAAGCTACATTCCCAGCCCCAATCTAATCACCTTTGAAAAAATATGAACTTGTATAACCAGTACTTGTGTTAGAATATAGAACATTCTCCTCACTTTAAAAGCATCCTGTGCCATATGGCATAATCCCACCCCAGAAGCAACCACTGTTTTAATTTCAAGGTTAGCCATTTTACTGTTAATTTTGAATGAAATAAATTATCACAGTAACTTGAGGATAAAGATGGGAAGGGAAAAATGGGGGCAAACAAAGGAAGGGGTAACATTGGCCAAGAGGCATTGTACTTAACCTGACCTATGGAACTGTAACCTGTTTGTACAACTATATAATATATATATACATTATATATGTATGTTATATATCTATATATATGATTCATAGGACTTGCTAAATGGCCATTTTCTTCTTTGCTCTGGGTTCAGCACACTGATAATTACTTTGCATGCCTTCTTTCTTTTTTTTTATTGTGAAAATACCATACAGAGGGGTTACAATTACATGGGTAAGGTAATGAGTGCATTTCTTATCAAGCATTGTTGCCTCCTCCTTTGTTTCCCCTTCCCATCCTTTCCTCCCCTCCGCCAAAGCTGAAAAGTTCATTTTTTGACATAACGTCTTGTACATCTCTAAACAGTGTGTTTTTTTCCTTCCCCTCCACAAATTATACCAACATCAAATACAGTGAAAACAGGGATTATACCATGGGGGAGGGACATACAAAGCAACAAAGAAATCATCTTATAAATATATTAGAAACAATCACAAAAAAGAAAAAGAACATTTGAGTCTTTATCTTGGTGTTCATTTCACCTAACATCAACTTATCTGACCATTTCTGCTTGTCTCAGACACATACTAGTAATTGCAAATAAGGGAAACCATGGGACCTATGTTTCTTTGGGCCTGGCTTACTTCACCTAATATTATATTTTCCAAGTCTTTCCATTTCCTAACATATGGGGCAATGCCATTCTTTCTGATTAAGGCAAAGAATTCTATTGTGTATATATACCACATTTTCTTGATCCATTCATCTACTGAGGGGCATCTGGGTTGTTTCTATATCTTAGCTATGGTAAATAATGCTGCAATAAACAGTTGTGCTGGGAGCTTTAGTATGGTCTTGTTTGTGATCCTTTGGGTAAATGCCCAAAAGTGGGATTGCTAGGTCATAGGGGAGCCTTTTGAGTAACCTCCATACTACTTTCCAAAGTGGTTGAACAAGTTTACACTCCCACCAACAATGCAGTAAGGTTCCCTTCTGTCCACATCCCCTCCAGCATCTGTTGTTATTAAAGTTCTTGATTATAGCCATTCTAACTGGGGTGAGGTGGTATCTCAATGTTGTTTTGATTTGCATTTCTTTTATGGCTAGGGAAGTTGAGCATTTCTTCATTTGTCTATTGGCCATCCTTCTTTCCTCTTCAGAGAAGTTTCTCTTCAAGTCTTTAGCCCACTTATTTATTGGGCAGTTGTTTCTTTGAGGATTTGTTGTTGGGGGATTTAATTTTTTGAGTTCCAAGTATATTTTACATATGAGACCCTTGTCCGTTGTATGGCTAGTGAAGATCTTCTCCCAATCCATGGGCTTTCTATTGATCTTGCTAGCTATGTCCTTTGCTATGCAGAAGCTCTGCAGTTTCATACAATCCCATTTGTCCAACCTTTCTTTGAGTTGTGTTTCTGGGTCTCTTTTAAGAAAATTTCAGCCTGTGCCAAGGAGACCTAGGGTTTCTCCTATTCCATCCTGTAATATTTTCAGAGTGTCTGCTTTGACTCTGAGGTCTTTGATCCATTTGGAGTTGATTCTGGTACTGGGTGATATATTAGGATCTAACTAGTTTTTTTTTACAAGTGATTAACCAATTTTGCCAGCGCCGTTTACTGAAGGGGCTGTCTTTCTTCCATTCTATTTTTTTAGCTCCCTTATCAAAGAGTGGATGGCTATAGGTATGTAGGTTAATTTCTGGGTTTCAATTCTATTCCATTGGTCCTGAGGCCTGTTCTTGTGCCAGTACCAAGCTGTTTTGATTACTATGGCTTTGCATGCCTTCTTTCTAATGAATTGTAAAATGTGAGAGTAGAATTCATCTGAGAATTTAAATACTGGAGCCATGAAGTAAATGAATATATCACTAGCTATAAAAAAAACTTTTAACATAAATGTTCATTCTTGAAATTTAACGAAAATCCTTACTTTCTGATCTATGGTTCAATATACCTTCATTATTTCCAAGTTGCAATCTTGGGCTTGCTACATCTAAGATTACCTATATTTCATTTCCATTTTTTGACAGATGCTCTTGTTCAATTATGCACTGATAAAATAAGAGGAAAGTAGATCATACATTTAGACTTTAAGCTTTGGTTGACATTAATGATAGTTAGCTCAAGTATTTTGTGTCATGCTCCCTATTAAAACATTACTTTCTTAATTTGTAATCACTGTGTTATCATGGCTTGCTTAAACCTGTGCTCTAGTTTTCCTTTGTCTTTCCCTTTATAATATATCCTTTCTCTGTATCTTCACCTTAGCCTCCTAATTCCTTCTTAAATTCTGATTTTCTTGCCTGACTAGTGGTATTAATGACTGTGGTTACTATTGTAAAAGCAGATTCCATGTTTGGAGAACCTCAGTTATCTTTCTGTCAAGGGAGTTTGCCTATCCTGCTTATGTTAGTATCTCTGCTCTTTAAGAACTTCACAGAAAAATCTGTTCCTATTTGTTTGTGGTACTCATAGTAGATCAGATTGAATTGGTGCAGAGTAACAAGAGTTTCATTCTGGCTCTTCCTTTTATTGACATTTCATAAGGTGTTATGACAGTCAGCACCATTGTTTCCCAAATCTGAGTGGCCATTATACCTACACATCTCCTTGGAAGTCTTAGCGAACTTAGAACATATGTAAGAAGCATTTTGTAAAATTTAAAGATAAGATGAGCTAACTAGGGACATTGACATATTTTTGTCCTAATTCTAGTTTTGATTTTTAACTATAGAGAAAAACAAGAGAGCAAACAACACCACAGAATTAACCTCTCTCTTGTCTTTCATTTTCATTCATGTCACCAAAAATGAATTCATGTCATGGGGAAGGTCTTATCTCTATTATTAACTCATTGAGTATTGTTTTATAAAACAAAGTTACATTCCCCTTTTTGCATTGTAATGCTTCCTTCATTATATAACTCTTACAAGAGGTGACTGTCTTCCTCCACCAGATAAGAAGATCCCTGGGTTTATAATACTTTGACCAAAATAAGAAAAACAGGCAGGAGACAGAAGCATGCATGAGAAACATCATAAGATTTTAGGATATATGTTTGACCCCAGAGTTATGTCCACATAACAGACTAAGGTGACATCCACTTACTAGAAGAGAACAAAACCTTTTTATGTAGACAAGCCAGATAATAGTTAGATTATATCTTAATTTTTTTTCCATGAGTTCTCCTTCTAATCAATGTGAAGGCCATAAATGCATCCTTCTAGGACAATGTTCTTTTCCTTCCACCAAGACAGCTTCGTTGTTTTCCTGTTTCTCCCAAATGACCTCTCTTGTAGTCCTGAAAGTAGAATCTTGTCTCTGATATCATTCCTGAAAGAGACTTTGTGACTTAATTTGAGTAGGCATATATATATATATATATCTCAAAACAGAAAATAATATTTAGCTCACTAATATTGATTTTTTTCTCATAACAATATTTTGATGCCACACTTTAACATGGATCTTATGCTCAATTTTAGAGCAATTAATTACCTCCATCTATTATAAAAACATACCAGACTAATGATAAGATGTAATATGACATGGCTTAGATAGCAGTAATTATTTAAATAGTAAATAATTATTATATTTATAGCCACAGTCTTCTTGGAGTTTTGGAAAAGGAGAAGAAGTATACTGACCTACACTTGGGATCTTATTGAATGGGAAGAAGAGGAGGTAAGATGTTACGAAAAATGTATACGAATTACCCAGGGGCCTAATAGCCAAACCAGAAACATATATACTATTCGTTATTTCTCTTGATGTTCTGTCATAGCAAGATTTCTTATTTCATGAAGATGATAAAACTCATTGTTGATGAATATAAACCACTTCTATGATGTCTTCTTAAATAAAATAATAGAAAATTGTGCTAATTTAAATATAGCTTAGAGTTTATTAGAAAGATAATTGTTTTTGTTTTTTATGATTTCTTCTTTGTGAAGACAGCCTAATAGCAAAATACTTTTTGGAGTTTTGAAGTAATATGAGGGGAATATTTTAAATATATGGCTTTGATATTTAGATAACTTTATTTTCTGTACCAGGAAACACTTCGTCCCCAGTTTGAAGCCAAATATTACAAGATGGAGATAATAAATCCTATCACAGGAAAACCTGAGCCTCATCAGCCATCATCAGACAAAATCAGTCGTCTTCTTGTGTCTGTGTCAGGAATATTCTTCATGGTAAAGGATAGTCCTCAGTATCAGATGTTGTGGGAATTCAGATGTAGAAAAACTTCAGATGATAGCAACTCATTTATTAATGTTGTGGACGTTAAAGAAACCCTAGACTTTTCAACCTTGGTAATACATTTAATTAAGCAAAATAGAAGTCTCAATAAATCAGAAAGAATTTACAAAGGAAATGTGAGGGTCTCTAACAGACATCAACTAAGATAAGAAGAAAGTACTTATGAGCTGTCCTTATAAATGAGATAACATGTTAACATCAGGCAATCCATTAGAAAGAGGAAATTGGGCAGATTTGGATTTTAGTATGATAGCTTTGCTGTCACATTAAAACAAATGTTTTTTTTTTTTTTTTCAAATTTGTATGAGAAGTACTTCAAAGTAGCTAATTAAAATGTGTGTCGCCTCCCTGAGTTACTTTTAAGTTTAAATCTGTATTATTTTTCCTTTTTCTGATGTGTGTGACAGAACTAAGGCTGGAATTCAGAGCTTAGGTACTGACATTTAGCTTTTTTGCTCAAAGCTGGTGTTCTACCACTTGCATCATTGCTCTACTTCTGGCTTTTGGGTAGTTAATTGGAGATGAGAGTCTCGGTGATTTTCCTACTTGTGGCTGGCTTCAAACTACACTCCTCAGGTCTCAGCCTTCCGCATAGCTAGAATTACAGGCATAAGCTACTGGTCCTACTTTTTAACTCACTTCCCTAGGAAAGAAAATGTAATCTCACAATGCTTTCATGGAAAAATATATACTTTCATGACTTGGAACAGTGTTTTTGATCAATAGTTTGGCTTTGGAATTTTTAGTGTGCAAAATGCAAGCATCATCTCTGACCTCTCCCACTGCAGATTTCCTTGGTGATCACAGCAGTGTTCGCAGTGGTGGTTTATCGCCTGGTGGTCATGGAACAATTCGCTTCCTTCAAGTGGAGCTTCATCAAGCAACACTGGCAGTTTGCAACTTCTGGTGCTGCTGTCTGTATCAATTTCATCATTATTATGTTGCTGAATCTTGTAAGTATTTATGGCGTTTTTCATTATGTAAAATACAAGTGGGCAAGGAAAAGATAGTTTGCATTTACAGTGAAGCCATAATAAGACAACAATATTTCTGGCAAAAATAATTCACTCTGCCAGAAAATATTATAACTGAACTTCTATGTTTTCTACTCTTCAAAATTTGATATATCTTTGTAACACTGTCTATATTTATTATATCTTAGATTTGACCATATTGTCCAGGTCCCACAACTTAAAGCAATAAATTATTCACTTCCTGTCAAAAATGTGGACATGATAGAAATGGTTTTCTTTATTTTTTCTAAAATTTTTTGGCCATGTCTGCATTGAGTAGCATTTATTTTTGCAGTTTTCCTTTGCATATCATACATTACCCATTCATTATTTATTTATTTATTTATTTATTCTGGTCGTGGGACTTGAACCCTGCGCCTGGGCGCTGTCCCTCAGTTCTTCAGCTCAAGTCTAGGGCTCTAGCACTTGAGCCACAGTACCACTGCTGGTTTTCTGAGTGGTGTATTGGAGATAAGAGTCTCACGGTCTTTCGTGCCCCAGCTGGCTTTGAACCAAGATCCTCAGATCTCAGCCTTGTGAGTAGCTAGGATTATAGGCGTGAGCCAGCAGCACCTGGCTCATAAATATTTAAATGCTCAGAATTGTCTTTGGAGGAAAAAAGTGAATCAAATATACAGTTTTTCTATTCTGTTTTTTCCCACACAAAATATAAGATTTTATATAATTAAATATAAGATAATTTACAATCTTTAATTGGTGCATTTAGAAGTCATATCAGTATGTTTTTCAATAGTTTCACTCAATATATTAAGCATATTGCCTCCTTTTTAAATTATATTATTATTATCCTTACTTTGAATTACAGAAGGAATACTTTGCTATTATTTTTAAAAAGTATTGACATTTAAAAATATTTAAAATATTATAGGTAGTCATCATCCTGGTCCACAAGGACACAATCATCTTTCCTGACATAAATTTAAATGTACTCATTGGAGGTCATCAAGATTAAGGCATTTCTGCCTCTTTATTATCCTTTTTACTCATAGTCAATTATTACAGCTTTCAAACTTGCACCTTTCATTCCTTTGTTTATGTGATAATTTATTCCAAAGACCTATAGGTCTTGAAACCGTCTTGAATGAATTAATGAACTGTCCTAATATTTCTTTTTTAAATATATTTTTTATTGTAAAGATACTGTACAAAGGAGTTGCAGTTACATGAGTAATGTAATGAGTACATTTCCTATCAATCATTGTTATTCCCTCCTTTGTTTTTCCTCTACCATCCCTCACCTCCCCACCTTCCCAACTTCTCCCTCTCCCCCCTCCACAAAGTTGTAAAATTTGTTTTCAACATAATGTTTTGTACATCTCATTGTTATAATGATTCAACCTGTACACTTGTTTCAGCGTTTTGTTATTTCCCTTCCCCTCCCCAAATTAGAAAAATGTAAATACAAGATGCAGGTCGCTTTAGTATGGCCTTGTTTGTGATCATTTGGTAAATGCCTAAAAGTAGATTGCTGGGTCATAGGGGAGCTCCATGTGTAGTCTTTTGAGGAACCTCCATACTGCTTTCCAAAGTGGTTCTCCATAGCTAAGATATGGAACCAACCCAGATGCCCCTCAGTATATGAATGGATCAAGAAAATGTGGTATATATATATAATGGAATTCTATGCCTCCATCAGAAAGAATGACATGACACCATTTGTTAGGAAATGGAAAAATTTAGAAAAATTATATTAGGTGAAGTAAGCCAGACCCAAAGAAACATAGGTCCAATGGTTTCCCTTATCTGTAATAACTAATATATGTCTAGGACAAGCAGAAAAGGTCAAAAGCTATGTACATATTATCATATAACCTGATGCTAAGTGAAATGAACCCCAAGATAGGGACACAAGAGGTTTTATCTTTGTTAAGCTGTTTTTTTAAATGTATTTATAATGCACTATGTGATTTTTTTTGTCTCTTTGTATGTTCTTCCCCCATGGTATAACCCCTGTTGTCACTGATTCTGTTATCCTGCATCTTGTACATACATTTTTCTTATTTGTGAAGGGGAAAGGAAATAACAAAATGCTGAAATAAGGATACAGGATGACCCATTACAACAATGAGATGTACAAGACAGTATATTGAAAATAAACTGTACAACTTTGTTGGGAGATGGTAGGAGTTGGGGAGATGGGGAGGAAAGGGATGGTAGGAGAAAAACAAAGGAGGGTGTAAGAATGCTCGATAGGAAATGACTTGCTCATGTAACTGTAACCCCTCTGTACAGTATCTTTACAATGATAGATAGATAGATAGATAGATAGATAGATAGATAGATAGATAGATAGATAGATAGATAGATAGATAGATAGATAGATAGATGATAGATAGATAGATACAGTACCGGAATCAAATACAGTGAAAATAGGGGAATAATGTGAGGGCAGAACATACAAAAGAAACAAAAAAAATCACAATCCATTATAAGTACATTAAAAACAACAGCAACAAAGACAAAACCTCTTGTGTCCCATCCTGGGGTTCATTTCACTTAGCATCAGGTTATACGGTCATATGTACATAGCTTTTGACCTTTTCTGCTTGTCCTAGAAATATACTAGTTATTGCAAACAAGGGAAACCATGAGACCTATGTTTCTTTGGGCCTGGCTTACTTCACTTAATATAATTTTTTCCAAATCTTTCCATTTCCTAACAAATGAGGTGGTGTCATTCTTTCGAATGGAGGCATAGAATTCCATTGTTTGTGTGAGTGTGTGTGTGTGTGTGTGTGTGTGTGTGTGTGTATCACATTTTCTTGATATTGCGGAAGATGTGGAATATGTCAGAGATAAGGAAAAAGCCTGAAGCCAAATGTGTTTATTTTTTTGTTGGGAAGGCATTCATGACAACTTTGAGAACAAACTCAAGGGAAAACCTTGATAAAAGTGCCAATTGAACTTCTAATTTGGCTCTCTTATCAAGGTTTTCCCTTTTTCATAGTTCAGATGCAACTAATTCTCAGCATATGTATGTGATTGATGAGAATTAATGCATTTTGTTCATCCAAGTCACTTGACTTTAATGAAAATAAAGACTGGATCCAATAAAGTGAATCTCTACTTGTAGACTTACGATCCCTGGAGGTAAGTAGAGATAGCCTCCATTCTTTGGGACATTAAAACACTGCTTTGAGACCCTTGAAATCCCACCCACTCAATTCAGTTGAAAATGAAACCTTGTGTAACGTTTTACTGTTACAAGACAAGCATTCATAATTCCTAAGAGAAGTGTCACTGAATTTCTAATTTTTTTCTACTTGTTGAGTATTTTTAGTATAAAGATTCAGGGGTTATTGTAAATGAGATATGCTATAAATACTTCTGTGCATGTGCAACTGGGAGGATTTAAAAGTGGATTTAGTATGAAGGAGTTGCATATGCAGCTTCCTCAACAAATGTGAAAATAATGTTATATTCTTTAGATTTCATTTAAAATATTGTTCTTCTGGATTTATCCTTTTCCTTCTTTATTAGATGTTAAAGCATTTCCCAAGTTATTAAACACCTCTTCTAATTCACATGAAATCAATACATTAATTTAGGAGCCTAATGAAATTAGGGTAGATTGAAAATAAACTATTTATTTTTATTTTTATTTTTTGGTGCCTGTCCTGGGATTCCAACTCAGCAGTGACTGAACTTTTTGGTTCAAAAGCATTCTGTCACTTGAGTCACAGCTCTACCTCTGACTTTTGGATAGTTAATTATAGATGAGTTTCAAGGACTTTGAACCTTGTTCCTCAGATCTCAGACACTGGAGTAAGTAGGATTACCAGTGTGAGCCACCATACACAGCTTTAAAAATGGCAGTTCTTATACCAACAGAATAGTCTTCTAGAAAACCAAATCCTACCTCATTCTTGTTGTGTTCATGGCAAAACTAAACATAAAGCTACTTAAAAAATGTGCATTTTGTTTCTTCATAACTTACATTTAGCATCCCTGTGTCATGTTGACTTGGTCTCAGTCAAGCTATTCTATTACTCTGTGAGTTTTTCATCTGGAATCTTTATGCAGTCAATTATGAAATGCAGGCATAACAAAGCAATTTAAAGCAGTCATTTTTTTTTTAAAATTAAGGGCCTTTTTCAGTATTATATACACAACCAGAAACCTTGTGCTGTTTTTTTTTTAATGCATTTCTTTTGTTCTCTTTCATCTTGTCAGCAAGAATTTTGTGAAATTTGAATGCCATGAATTTTGCTTCTAAAAGATCTCTCTCATCCATTGCCTGCTGACAATTCTTTCATCTATTTCTGTAGCTCAGCTTCTCAAGGTTCAGCAGTTAACTTACTATTTCTGTTCTAAATTCTTCTTATCTAATCACATGACTGTTAGAGGGATCTATCAAGATGGCTAAACTGCTAATTGGATCATTTGTGTTTGGGACTATTTAAAGGACTTTCATTGCTTTGGGTATAAAGTCTAAATTTACTAGACAGGTATAAGAGGCTCTGCAAGGTGTAAAACCACTCTCCTTTACTCTTGTTCCAGATTGTATTCTTCATTCCCTTTGATTCCCTGAACTTGACCTATGGAACCACATTCTCTGTGTTCCAGTATCTCTACTTTACAACCCTCTTTCTAGGTCCACAGTGGTTCTTCAGTCTAAAATTATCTTCTTTGTTGTTGCTGTTGTTTTGTCTCCTTGGACAAAATTTCTCCATCTTCTGAAAAAAAAAATAGTTAAGGATCATTTCCCCCCGTTTCCAGGGAGCTTTCTGTCAGTCTCAAATGTAGATGTAGACAATGGGCTTTTTTGTTTTATTTTGTGTTTATTCTCTCCAGGAGGCTCTGAGGCTACCTGTTTTCTCCACTACCAGATTCTATTGAGAGAACTACATACCGCTTTGTGAACTTTCTTCTGTGACAATACTTATCATCCCTGATTTTTTTCCCACCATCAAAGCTGCACACTCAAACAGCATTGGCTACAACTTCCTCATCATTTTACCACCAAGTGTTTGTGCAATGTCTAAAATGCATTTGGCCTGTAACTTTGGAATTCATTTTTTGGGATTTTATCCTCCAAATATCCTAGCATTTTCAACATGATATATGCCCAAATTGAATTGTTAGTAGAAATACATTTTCAGAGTTTCTCATGTTTGCAGCATTCATCTTAAGCCACACAATGAAACAGTACATATTTCAAAATAGGTCCTTTAAGGAATCCCTAAATGATATTTCAGTTAGTGTAAAAATAAGAAAAGGGCCAACATAATCAATATTTGACTCGAAGTCCACTTTACAGATCATCAAAGTGGTATATGTGTTTCTTTTTCTTAGTGTATATCTTATTACCTGCAACTGTTCGGAACACTAGAAATCCCTGAATTCTTTTTAGAACCTCCTCAAGAGGGCTAGGAAATCTATATTTAAAATAAAACCTTTGAAAACTTGCATTTATTATTTGAATTCCTCATGAAACATATAGCAAAAAGAACTTACAGTGACAGCATTTGACTTTATGCATTGCTCTTTCTTAATCCCAACCTTCCCACTCCTTTTATTTTTAATGAAAAATAAATATGTGAAACCTTTCCCAAAATATATATTCTTATTCTTAGTGCTTGACAATCAAATCTTTTGACTAATTTTTTCATGTTATCACTGTATGATAGCTGTCTGACATCAAAATTAGTGGATGATTATTAGAGAAAATAAATAGAAACATCTGAACATATTTTTTAGTTTGAAATATTTAAGATTAGGCCACTTTTGATTTTCAGCATAGCCAATAAAGGAATGAACTCCTCTACTTTTTCATTTTAAAAATCTATATTCCATACACAAAGCATAACATAATAAAAAAGGAAGAAGAACAAGAACTGTAACAGAAAAAGGAGGAGAAAGAGGAGGAGGAGGAGGAGCCAGAGGAAGAGGAGGAGGAGGAGGCAGAAGAAGGAAGAGTAAAAAGAATATTACACTGAATTTGGCAAATGTTAATTCTCTATGCTTGGCTCTACGGTCTTCTCCATCTCAGGTCAATTTCCTTCTTTATATTCCAACACATTTATGCTTCTTCTCTGGCCCTGATCATTCAAGGCCTCAAAATAAACTTACCTTTCCTTAACACCAGGTTACCATTGGTTACCAAGTATAATGAAAATAGGTTATTATGGAATAGAATCGATCAAAGAATAGATCAGAGGCTCCACCTCTGAACCAGGAAAGAAAATAATACCAAATAACTCATTTAATAAGAAGATTGGCATATTAAAATCTTTTTTACTTAGTTTAAAGAATTTACTTGGTTTGTTCATGTCTATATCAACAGTTAGGAGAAATTTGACAGCATATCCAGCTAGAAAAGAGTAGTCTCTTTAACTTTACAAGTCCTTTTGGAATTCATTCTCACAGTGAAAGCTGGACTGTGAAGCTTGAGCTGCACAGGTGAAATGCACTGAAAAACTCTCCAATGTGACCTTCACAATGACCCACCCTTCTCTGCCTTTGCTGCCAAGGGACTTGGGTATACCACCCCAACAAGGCTTTAGAGGAAAACTGATGACTTCTAAACTCAGAATGAATCATCACATCCTTACCATGGCCAGCCATGGTTCAGACTGAGAGATCTCTGTGTCATGTCTTATTACTTTGCTTTATTACTGCCTCACATAATACAGAGTCTCACCTACACCAGAATATGTTCCAATCACAATACAATATCTTCTGTGATTTCTAATATTTCTCCAAAGGTTACTATAATCCCTTGGGGCATCTAGTTCTTGATAGGCTCTGTGTTCCAAGTATTAAAACAAAAGTCCAAGTATGTCAAGGCCCAGCATTGCTGTTGTAAGAAAGCCATGATAGCCAATCCTAACTTTGCTATTTGCTTGTGGTGGTCTATCAACTCAAGTGCCTGACATATCAAGTGAAATGCCAATTATATTTAAATAAAATTAACTTTGAATCCCAATTAAGTCATGCAACTTGAGGCATAGTATTAGAGACAAAGTAACTCTCTAACTACTAGTTATGAGTGATAACATCCACCTTATTATACCTCTTGGACAAGATACAGTAGTCTCCTAACTTTATAAATGAAAAAGAACATGTTACAGTGTTCTTGTCTTAAAATTTGAAAATGATAGATTATGAACTGGGCTAACATAGAAACTAATCCATACCAAATCCATACTTCCCTACAATGAGACTGTTGTACTCAGTGTAAACTTTGTCTCAGGATAATCTAGATCTTAGAAAAAGTTAGATTTGTATCATAGCTAAAAGAATAATTACATAATTAGACCTATTGAAATAATTGTCAGAGACTATGAACTCTGAAAGCATGCAGATAAAGCTCAGGTGGCTTATGTCTATCATCCTACTACTCAGGAAGCTGAGATCTGAAGATCATGGTTCAAAGACATCCTGGGCAGGAAAGTCTGTGAGACTCTTATTTCCAATAAGCCACTCAGAAAACCAGAAATGACTCTGTGGCTCAAGTTGTAGAGCACTAGCCTTGAGCTGAAGAGCTGGGGGACAGCTCCCAGGTTCAGAGTTCAATACCCACAACCAGCCAGAAAACAACAACAACAATAATAACAAAAAACTGGCAAACATATTTTGATGCTGCCTGCCACTGGGGTGGGTCATTATAATTATTAAACAGTTATTTACTGAATTATGTGTGTATGTCATATTCACTTGCAAATACATACACTTAAAAATATATTAACCTTACATCTGTACCAAATATATTTTCCCAACTATCTACTTGTACATTAATTTGATAGACATACCCTTCACTTGCATCTGTATAAATGGTAGATTTTGGAAGGTTGCAGAGAAGTTGGAAGATGATGAAAATATGTCATCAGAAAAATCTATTGTGCTAGTAGCTTACAAATTTCACAAGTTGAGTTTATCATTCTGGTTTTTTTTTTTCTTTAGAAATGAAATGTTCACACTTTTCTTTTTGGTAATTTGGAAAATTCCGCACAAAGATTTAGAATTCTAACTTCGACTTCACCTTCCACTATAGGGAAAAACCCCACAGTTTAAAAATCAAATCTCAAACTGGGTGCGTGTGGCTTACACCTGTAATCCTAGCCACCCAGGAGGCTGAGCTCTGAGGATCACGGTTCAAAGCCAGCTGGGACAGGAAAGTCTGTGAGACTCTTATCTCCAATAAACCACAAGAAAACCAGAAGTGGTGCTTGTGGCTCAATTGGTAGAGCACTAGCTTTGAGCTGAAGAGCTGAGGAACAGTGCCCAGGACCAGAATTCAGGCCCCTCGACCTACCAAAAAAAAAAAAACAATCAATCTCAGCTCAGTTATTGATTAGCTGAATGACTTTATCTTTTTTTTTCTTGTTTAGAAAGATTGCAGTATGAAGCCCTGAGTTGAAACCCTAATATGAGCAACAAAGCAGAAATAAGGGCATGCTTTTTCATTTCTATGAAGAAGGTCAATAGTAATATTTTCCAAATGAGAAGAGTAATATTAATGCATTCTCTCTATTACAGGCTTATGAAAAAATTGCTTACCTTCTCACTAATTTAGGTAAGTCCATTTTTTTTTAAAATTTTATTTTATCTTATTTGAGAACATACTGTACAGAGGGGTTACAATTACATGGGCAGGATAATGCATACATTTCGGTAAGTCCATTTTTTTGCTTCACTCGATAGTAAGAAAATAACATGAATTTTAAAATGACAAAATTGATCGCCAAAAAAAAACAAAAAATAGGAAAAAGACCAACTTGATATTACCTGTAGATGATGAATAAAGCTGAGGTAAGATGTCAGGTTTATGACAATGAACCCTTTTCTCTTTATTGCACGGCAAAGCTTTGTTTTTTGTTTTTGTTTCTCAAAGCTTGTCTGATCCCACTATTGTGCATTACTTGAATGAAGGATTGATCCTATCTTTATAGTTACTTCTAAATTTCTTCTAAAGAAGAAGAATCCTGACTACTTTTGTATTTAATATTGTGAACAGTGATCATGCATCTGCAGCATGGGAAAAGCGTCAAGATTTTATTTGTAGAACCTTTCTTCATTTGCACAGCAGACATACACTCATATCTGACTGACACTAGAAGTCAGAATTTTTTTTTGTTGGGGGGGGTTCCGGTTGTGGGGCCTGAACTCTGGGCCTGGGCACTGTCCCTCAGCTCTTCAGCTCAAGGCTAGTGTTCTACCACTTGAGCCACAGCATCACTTCTGGCTTTTTTCTTTTTGCTTATGTGGTGCTGAGGAATCCAACCCAGGGCCTCAGGCATGCAAGACAAACACTCTACCACTGAGCCACCTTTCCAGCCCCTAGAAGTCAGAATTTTAAGTGCCTTGCAGAACCAGTAAATCACTATACCTAAATCCGAACAGGGGACTTCTGATCCTGTGTCCAGACTTCTTGTCATTTACTCTGTGCCCGCAAACATGCTCTTTTCAGAATATCCTCGAACTGAGTCTGAATGGGAAAACAGCTTTGCCCTGAAGATGTTCCTTTTCCAATTTGTCAATTTAAACAGTTCTATCTTCTACATTGCTTTCTTTTTGGGAAGGTAAGTCCATTTTATACAAAATATTTCTACAGATACTCAAACACCACTAACAGTTGCCTTTGCGAATTAGTTCAAAGAGGTGGCAAAATCTTGGCCTCCGCCTTGGAAGTTTCACTCATGACTTCTGGCAGCCACTACCAATCACAGTTGGCATACACAAAAAGACAAAACCCAAATGCTACCTTTGAATTCACTGTTTCTGTCCACATGTTGATAATTATATTGCTAAGGAGGAAAGAGCCTTTGAGTCACCCTGGGTTACAATTCATCAATGTAGAAACTCCTACCCATCACTTTAATGTTTTCTTTTTTCCACCTACTTTGGAGAAATGTAGAAAATAACCATGTTAAATTAATGAGTCTGACTGGATATGTGGCTTACATGTCACATAGTGCCATGGAAACATAAAGACGTTAAAATCCTTTTGAACCAAACCAGTCAGCACCACTAATTGGGTCCCTGGATATTAAAACTCTACATCTGAAGCTATCAATTGTGATCAGGTTGGTTTGTCCAACTCATTGATACCCAGTTCATGCATCACTTTCTCCTTTATAAGTCAAGTATCTGCTTTGATGTTGCCAAAGCATAACAAAAGTCAACTATTTCAGGACAAATTGGACCAGTGAACATTTGTGTCAACCCACACATGCACTTGGTATAATATGTTAGTAGGTGTTCTTTCCTTATGTACTAATAAATTATAATGCTTTGTTCCAGATTTGTGGGCCACCCAGGAAAATACAATAAACTTTTTGATCGGTGGAGACTAGAGGAAGTAAGTTACCTTGTGGGTGTGGATTTGTGTGGATGGTATCGACAGGATAGTGACTGTAGGTGGTATGGAAGCGGGGTTGCAAATGAGATACTGAGGCCTGCTGAAGGCACAGTTTTGGTAGTAAAGACTTCCATTGCATTAAAAAAAGAAACAATTCTATTTGTCTTTTTTTTTTAAAAGATGTTTTAAAAGGTTACCTTCCAAGATTCTAACCTTTGATCTCCTTACCTCTGTATCATCTGTTTCTAAATGCCAAAGATTTAGTCTCATGTAGGAAGACAATGTTATCTATGGCCTGGGTCTCCACACTTTTAAGTATGTTAGGCTTCCTTTTCAGAAGGGAAATCTGAGTGCAAAGAAAATTTTATTTGAAACATTGACATGTTAATATAGTCAGATCTGACAAGGGTTCCTATTTCTGTCTTGATTGACAATGTATTTGTCTAATGGGAAAATGTGTGGGAGAAGTTCTCCTGAATGCTGTGTGTTCTCATAAGTAAATTGTCCTCCAGAAGCCCAGCCATTACTAATAGTGTAATGTCTTACTTCCTCAGACTTTGACCACAGAAGTTATTATTCTGCCAATTGAATGATCTAAAAGATACTGCCTTTTGATGTTAGCTTGTGCACAATGGAAATTATTTTTCTTTTTCTTACATATTTCGTATTTCTGTGTGTCTCCTGATAGACGTGTATATTGATGAAATTTCAGGGGCTTTTGCCACCACTAAGATTGTTCAATGTGATTATTTTTTATTAAGAAACCACTGGAATTCCTGACTTCTGAAAGCTCCAGAGAGATTATAATTATGCCCATGTCAGAAAAAATGTTTAATAAACATTCTTCTCAATGTATGATCTCTATGGCAATCATATTTCCAATATAGTACTCTGTAATTTGAAATAAAACAGTGAAATTAAAAACTATGTAAGTTTGACAAAAAGTCTTAAAAACCTTAGAATATTTAGAAAGTACACATAATGGCATAAAAAATTTATCCCCTGCTTCATCATGTAAGAAATATTTATTGACACATTCACTATGTCAAGTCCCTGAAAGATAAATAGATATGAAAATGAAGACATCTGTACTCCCCTTTGATAACATAGTAGTCTTAAGAATAGGACATCTCTATGAATTCTAACAAATACTTTTGTCATTAGCACCTGACAGTTTGCATTCTAGGCCTTTCCTACCCAGAGGCAAAACTTTAAAATGCATACATTTCAGTAATAAGAATAGCTACCTCAATATTTGTGATTGGTGGATTGTGCATGGAAAATGCTAGTCCCAATTACGTGTAATGGTTATAAGAAAAATTCCTACCCTTCATTTCAGAATATTTAGAAACTGGTTATTCTGAATTTTTGACAATCATACTATAAGTGCATATGTGTAAGTCCCTACAAAAATGAAGAACTTGATTTTGCAACTAGTATCTATAATCTTCCCTTCTAGCTTATCAATTTTTCAGCTTTGGGGTTTTCCTCTGAACCCATTTATGGGATCTGTATGACAGAGGTCAGGGAGATCTTAAATTCATCCTAGAAAAAAGAAATGTACTGTCCTCCAAATTTTCATATAAATTTAGTGTTTATGATTTTAAAATAATCGCTAATGCTTATTGAATATATGCTAACATGATCCAGCAATTTTTACTAAGTATTCTTCATATACAAACAATCCTCATAGTGATTCCATTATTCATTTCAGATGAGGAAACAAATGAATACAGAAATTAACATTGATGAAGTTATGATTTGGGGCTAGATGGTATAGCATGAGACTACTCTGAACATTATTCATTTATGCTACTATTAGGAAAGTGTGTAGGCACAATCAAGGATAGGATAATAATAAATCAAAATAAAAAATAACCTAAATAAAATAAATAAATAAAATAAATTTAATGAAAAATACAAATAAATAAGAATAAATGAATAATAAAATAAAATTTATTTAGATAATAGATTTCTCTGCCTCATACATGTAAGTTACAATTAGGATAAAAATACTAAGATAGGTTAAGCAGTAAATACTAAACACTAAGCAATAATAAGATTTGTGAAAGCACTCAGCTTTGTCTGTCCATGATTATTCCATTTTGGAATGGTGCAGTTGGCATGTGTGTGGGTCTTCCATATATGCATCCAAGGCCTTGATTTACATTCTAAGTGAGGGTTAGTTTTTACCAAGTATGTTTTAGGGTAGGGAAGAGATGGCTTTTACTCATAACCCAAAAACATCTTCCCTATAAATCACAAATCCATCAAGGCTTTATATAAACAAAGCTATAAACGACCTATCTTCGAGCATCTTTACTTTGGCCTAGTCTTTTCAGGCAACAATCCAAGCACATGGTCTTATGAATATCTCCAATTTTCTGTCTCATATAATAATATATTCGTGCTAAACTAACACAAATACCAAATTATCAACATACCTAATTATACATATGGCATGTGTAATTTATTCATAGAAAAGAATGCAAGAGCAATGCATTAGTAGCAGGTGGCACACCCTCTCCCCAAATAAGTCAATTTTGAGTGACATTGGGTAGTGATTTTATCTCTATGTCTCCTCAAAAATGAATGGCTTGTTTGTAGTTGTGATCTGCTCCTCTGGTTTAGCAATTATTTACCTTCAAACACTATACTAAATTCATTTTAAGATGTATTTGACAGAGTTAAATGGTTTCTAAATCCATCCTGGAAGGAAGAGATTTGCTTGGAAGGAAGAGATTTGCTTGGATGGGAGAATTTAAACTTCCATGAACTGTGACCACTGGCAAACTTTCTTTTTGGCTCAGATTAGACTGTTAAGTTACTGGACTGGAACAGCTTCTGTTCATATCCTGATTGTTTGTGCCTTTTGAAGTCCCTCACGTACCATTTTGATTTAATAGAAACTCTGGATCAAATCTATAGAGACTGTTATCCTCATGAGCAGGACATGAACCCATTTCTAAAGGAACAAATCCATTCTTTCCCACTTAAAATGTCTGCTAGAATATAGGTTTTTAAATTTTATTTTCTTGTAAAGATAATGTACAGAGAGGTTACAGATACATCAATAAGATGATGAGTTCATTTCTTGTGGAGCATTATTACCTCTTCCTTTGTTTTTCTCCTACATAGTTTTTAAGGAAAATGAATTGATTTCAATGTTCCTTGAAATTGCATGCATGTGTGTGTGTGTGTGTGTGTGTGTGTGTGTGTGTGTGTGTGTGTTTCTACTATCTACTTATTGAAAATCTAGAAAAGCAAAGAAGGGTAGAGGAGAAAAATTGGAATAATACCAGCAAAATATTTTGTTGCATGCATTCACCATGCATTCTATACGTAGATATTCTCTCCCCAAGAAAAAATATTTAATGCCTCCCTCATCAGTAGAACGGGGGAGAATTAGGGACTTACTTCTACGGATATGAAAGAAAAATGATAAAAAAGTAGGGTTTATGAGTAAACCCTGGAAAACACTGCATCCACTAATTAATGATTAATAATCATTGCTTATGTTCTGATATATTGTAGCTCTGGTATGATCTAATGAAAGTGGCCTTTCATTCCTGTGTTTGGCTTTCCAAAACATATAACTCCAAGTCTTAATATGATAAAGACATCAGATAAACACAGATTTTGTGACATTCCACATAATAACCAGCCAAATGGCAATTTTCAAAACTCTTGGGTACTCTAAATTATCCTGAAATACAAAAAAGATATGAAAGCAATATATCATACTTATGTCATAGAATTATTAATTAGTTCCCCAAGTTTAAGGATATATAATATTCCATAGTAATTATTAAATGTAATCATGCCTAACCAGAGTTTGGAAGATAGTAAGTACTTTGTTGTAGTTGCCATTATGATTTTGTCACTATAATTGCTGAAAAATTCTCTACCAAATATCCTCACATATGCTGTTTCTTTTGTGTATAAAGAGCTGTTTAAAAAAAAAAAAAATCCATGAAATAGGTTTGACTACACAGCTTGAGAATTTACTATACAGCTCACAGACAAGACTCTTGAGCCAGCTTGCTCAGAAGCAAGATCACTGTTGTGCTTCTCATTTTATTCCAGTGCCATCCTAGTGGCTGTTTGATAGACCTCTGCCTCCAGATGGGAGTCATAATGTTCTTGAAGCAAATCTGGAACAACTTTATGGAACTGGGATACCCGTGAGTATGTTGTTTTTAAACCTGTCTTTTGTGGAGTTACGAAGGAAGATTGACAAGGTGTGCTAAGTGATTTAAAAAAACGTAGGGTTGGCAGTTAAAAAGACAGACCAAGGCGAAGCTCTTTCTCTGCTCCTTACTAGATATATGACTGGGTGTTGGTTAAATATTACTGAGCCTCAATTTTCACATCTCCACGAAGAGTCCAACAGTTATACCTAACTCAAGGAATGAAAGTGTTAATAGATGTACAAGAACTTGTTCATCACCTTAAGACACCTGGTGGTGTTTTCAAATATTGATAGTATAGATTCTTTTTTCTTTTTTTCTTTTTGTCTGTCATGTGGCGTAAGGGCTTGGGTGCTGCCCTGAACTTTTGTGCTCAAGGCTAGAGCTCTACCACAATGCCCCTTCTGTTTTTCTCCTGGTTAGTTGCAGATAAGAGTCTCATGGACATTCCTGACAGGGGCTGGCTTCAAACTATAATTTTCAGATCTCAGGTTCCTGAACAGCTACAATTACAGATGTGAGACACTGGTACCTGTCCAGTACAGGGGAAAAAAGTTCTGACTTGTTTTGTCTATGGACAGAACAAGAGTATTGATGTCCTAATTATTGTTCTATAGAATTCTAACCCTTCGAGAATACATACGCTCAAGAAAAACTGCTTAAGCAATCTCGAGGACTCTTTTTTGTAATCGTTCTTTTCTTCCCTCACCATCCCCTCAAATCATCAAAACAGAACGGACTGGATAACTTAACTATCTATAAAAACTTGAAGAGATGCTGGATGTCCAGTTTTGCACATATTAACATAGTTATTCATTAAAAGACAACTAAACAGCCGGGCGCTGGTGGCTCACGCCTGTAATCCTAGCTATTCAGGAGGCTGAGATCTGAGGATCGCGGTTCAAAGCCAGCCCGGGCAGGAGAGACCGTGAGACTCCTATCTCCAATAAACCACCAGAAAAGCGGAAGTGGCGCTGTAGCTCAAGTGGTAGAGCGCTCGCCTTGAGCTGAAGAGCTGAGGGACAGCGGCCAGGCCCAGAGTTCAAGCCCCACGACCGACAAAAAAAAAAAAAAAAAAAGAGACAACTAAACAGAAGATATTTAACACAATGTGATACTGACCTTCTAAAACCTCATCTACCAAAGGCTAAAACCTATTGTGTATAATTTTACTTACTATAGAGAAAAACTTGATCAGTTAATTGATGATTCAAATACCTTCTATTTAGTCAGTTAATATTACTTTGACTTTTTTTTTTACATTATGTAACAAATTAAGAACAAATTAAGCTGAGACTTAGAGTGCAGAGGAGTGATACTCAGTCTGAAATCTGCCCATGAAATACTGGTTAAATTACTAGCCTATCTTAGAATATAGACACAGAATAACCTAGATTGGATTATAATTCCTTCTCTCTTCTTTGCTAATTTTACTTACAAATTATTTCACTTCACTGAGATTTGTGAGATGATCCAACACATTTTTTTAAAACTTCAATCATGAATGATTTTTTTAGGCAGTCTTAAGTTTGAACTCAAAGCGCCATGCTTGCTAAGCTGGTGTTCTACCATTTAAACCACTCTACCAGCCCCTTCTCACATTAGTTATTTGCAAAAGAGAGTCTCACTGTATTCCTGGGCTGGCCTAGATTGCTATCTTACTATTTGTGCTTTCCTTTGTTTCAGGGATAGCAGGTGCATGGCACCCCTCTATCCCCCCACCCCACCTCCCACCTGCTAGTTATTAAACATGTTCCATTGTGCCTAACTACTAAATGCCACGAAGTGTCATGAAATGTTATGCTCATGTTGGCCTTGAGCTGTGATCCTTCCATCTCCACCTTGCAAAAAGCTAGAATTATAGACTTGAGCCACCATGACCAGCATGACATAACATTTTTTTATTGTGAAAATACAGTACAGAGGGGTTACAATTACATGGGCAAGGAAATGAGTACATTTCTTATCAAGCATTGTTGCCTCCTCCTTTGTTTCCTCTTCCCATCCCTTCCCATCTCCCGGCCTTCTCCCTCCTCCCCTGTTACTCCCCCTGCCCTAGCCAAAGTTTTATTTTATTTTTATTGCTTTGTAGGTCTTAAACTCAGGGCTAGGCTCTGAGCTCTTTTTGCTCAAGACCAGTCTATATAATTTGAGCCAGAGTGCCACTTCCATTTTTCTGATGATTAATTGTAGATAAAAGTCTCACCGACTTTCCTGTCCAGGCTGGCCTTGAAGAGCATTCCTCAGATCTCGGCCTCCTGAGTTACACATGAGCCACAGATGCCTGGCAACATAACATTTTTATGAAATGAGTTTTTTATACAAATTCTCAATATTCAAAGCAAATTTTTAAAAATCTGTTGTAGATGGAAAGAAAAGAGAGTGGAGATAGAGGTTGGAGGGCCCACGCTATTTGTTATGTACCTATCTTTGACATATTAGTTAGAATAGGAGACAGTAGGTACTTCAGAAACATGTTTTAACCATTCTCCCACTTGAGCAGTCCATTAGATCTTATACATCAGGTAAATAGGAAGGTCCCCATAGCAGAAAACATTCTGCAGCTATTTTCCCAGCACCTAGATAAAGGCCTCGTTAAAGAACATGTAGCGGGAATAGATTCAGTCATCAAAGCAGTGGTTTTTCACACTTTTAAACCAAAATTCTCTTTCTTCGTGTAATCCTTTATGCAAAACCAAGAATAGAAATACAAAAATAGGAACAAGCAGTCTGCCTCAGTTCTCAACTCCAGACCCCTTTCATCTTCATGAGCCTCCAAAAGCAAGCTCCATGGCACTCCCATTAGAACACTGCCTAATACTTCAGGTTTCGATCTGGTGCTCTTGCAAATGCCACTAGGGCTTCAGGCCCATGGCTTACTAAGATTAAACTGTATGGAATGCTATTCACAGAGTTCTGGGGAGACTCACCTCATTCCTCAGTCTAGAAGTAGTTTTGTCAAATTCTTTTTAAAATTTTTTAAATTTCTTTTTAAATTTATTCTTATTTTTATTTTTGCAGTACTGGAATTTAAACTCAAAAGATGCCCACTTTTTAGAAGACACTAAGTTCTTAAGTAATTCATTACCAAGAAGCAATTTAAACACAACAGAATATTTCTTTTTTTTTTTTTTTAATTTAATTTTATTTGTGAACATACTGTACAGAGGAGTTACAGTTACATGGGCAGGATAATGTGTACATTTCTTACCAAGCATTGCAGCCTCCTCCTTTGTTTACCCTTCACATCCCTTCCCAGCCTCCCCCCTCCCCCCCTAATCCCAATCCTTCTCCTTCCTCCCCCCCCCAGCCTCCCCCCCCCCCCCCCCCGCACCAACGTTGTAAAGTTCGTTTTGGACATGACAACTTGTACTTCTCATTGTTGCAACAGGTCCACCTGTATCCTTAAACAACTGGTTTTTCCCCATCTCCTCCACAAGTTATACTGACATCAAATATAGTGAAAGCAAGGGTTATACTGTGGGGGAGGGACATACAAAGCAACAAAGAGATAATCTTATAAATGTGTTAGAAACACATGCATGAAAGAAAAAAACATTAAAATACACATCTAAGGGTTCATTTTCCTGACATCACATTATCTGACCTTTTCCGCTTGACTCATACATATACTAGATATTACAAATAAGGGAAACCATGGGACCTACTTTTCTTTGGGCCTGGCTTACTTCACTTAATATAATTTTTTCCAAGTTTTTCCATTTCCTAACAAATGGGGCAATGTCATTCTTTCTGATGGAGGCATAGAATTCCATTGTGTATATATACCACATTTTCTTGATCCATTCATCTACTGAGGGGCATCTGGGTTGGTTCCATATCTTAGCTATGGTAAATAATGCTGCAATAAACATAGTTGTGCTGGTAGCTTTAGTGTGGTCTTGTTTGTAAACATTAGGGTAAATGCCCAAAAGTGGGATTGCTGGGTCATAGGGGAGCTCTATGTGGAGTCTTTTGAGGAACCTCCATACTGCTTTCCAAAGTGGTTGAACAAGTTTACATTCCCACCAACAATGAAGTAAGGTTCCTTTCTGTCCACATCCCCTCCAGCATCTGTTGTTGTTAGAGTTCTTGATTTTTGCCGTTCTAACTGGAGTGAGGTGATATCTCAATGTTGTTTTGATTTGCATTTCTTTTATGGCTAGGGATGTTGAACATTTCTTCATGTGTCTATTGGCCATCCTTCTTTCTTCTTCAGAGAAGTTTCTCTTTAAGTCTTTCGCCCACTTATTTATTGGGCAGTTGTTTCTTTGAGGATTTGTTGTTGGGGGGTTTAATTTTTTGAGTTCCAAGTATATTTTAGATATGAGACCCTTGTCCGTTGTATGGCTAGTAAAGATCTTCTCCCAATCCGTGGGCTTTCTATTGATCTTGCTAGCTATGTCATTTGCCCTGCAGAAGCTCTGCAACTTTATGCAATCCCATTTGTCCAACCTTTCTTTGATTTGTTGTGTTTCCGGGTCTCTATTCAGAAAATTTCGGCCTGAGCCAAGGAGACCCAGGGTTTCTCCTATTCCATCCTGTAATGTTTTCAGAGTGTCTGCTTTGAGTTCAAGGTCTTTGATCCATTTGGAGTTGATTCTGGTGCAGGGTGATATATAAGGATCTAGCTTAAGTTTTCTACATGTAGTTAACCAATTTTGCCAGCACCATTTACTGAAGAGGTTGTCTTTCTTCCATTCTATTGTTTTAGCTCCTTTATCGAAGATTAGATGGCTATAGGTCTGTGGGTTTATTTCTGGGTTTTCAATTCTATTCCATTGGTCCTGAGGTCTGTTCTTATGCCAATACCAAGCTGTTTTGATTACTATGGCTTTATAGTAGAGTTTGAAGTTTGGTATTGATATTCCTCCAGCAGTGTTCTTTCCATTCAGGAGCGTTTTTGCTATTCGGGGTCTTTTATTGTTCCATATGAATTTTTGGATTGCCTCTTCTATTTCCTTGAAGAATGAGGGTGGAATTTTGATAGGTATTGCGTTGAATTTGTAGATAGCCTTGGGAAGTATTGCCATTTTCACGATGTTAATCTTTCCAATCCAGGAGCATGGGAGTTTTTGCCATTTTTTAAGTTCTGTGTTGATTTCCTTTTTCAAGATTTTAAAGTTTTCATCATAGAGGTCCCACAACAGAATATTTCTAAATCACAAAATTTCAGGACCATTCCTCAGCTAGGGAAAGGTTATTTTTTATTTAATTTTATTTTATTGTAAAGCTGCTGCACAGAGGGGTTGCAGTTACATGAGTGAGGCAATGAGGACATTACTTGTCGATCATTGTTACCCTTCCCTTGCTGTCGTCCCACTATCCCTCCCCTCCCTGACCCCCGCCCTCACCACGAAGTTGTAAAGTTCGTTTCCAACTATCCTGTGGGTATCCTTGTTGCAATGGGTCATCCTGTGCCCTTGTTTCAGCATTTTGTTATTCCTCTTCTACTCCCTAAATTAGACAAATGTATATACAAGATGAGGGTACCAAAATCAAGGACAGTGACAATAAGAGATATGTCATAGGGGAAAGAATATACAAAGGAAACAACAACAACCAAAAAAATCACATGGTACATTTAAAACAATAACAATAAAGACAGACCTCTTGTGTCTATATCCTGGGGTTCATTTCACTTAGCATCATCTTATATGGTCATGTATACATGGCTTTTGAGCTTTTCATCTCATATGATAAGATTATCCTATATGAATACTAATTATTGCAAATAATGGAAACCTTGGGAATTAAATTTTTGGGGGACTGGGTTTCTTCACTTAATATGGTTTTTTTCCAAGTCTTTCCATTTCCTAACAAATGGAGCAGTGTCATTCTTTCTAATGTAGGCATAGAATTCCATGATATGTGTGTGTGTATGGGTGTGTGTGTGTGTGTGTGTGTGTGTGTGTGTGTGTGTGTGTATCCCACATTTTCTTGATCCATTCATCTACTGAGGGGCATCTGAGTTGGTTCCATATCTTAACCATGGTGAATAATGCTGTGATAAACATAGTTGTGATGGTAGCGTTAGTATGGTCTTGTTTGTGATCGTTTGGGTAAATGCTCAGAAGTGGGGTTGCTGCGTCATAAGGGAGCTCTATGTGGAGTCTTTTGAGGAACCTCCACACTGATTTCCAGAGTGGTTGAACAAGTCTATAATCCCACCAACAATACAGAAGGTTCCCTTCTGTCCACATCCCCTCCAGCATCTGTTGTTCATTAGAGTTCTTGATTATAGCCATTCTAACTGGGGTGAGGTGGTATCTCAATGTTGTTTTGATTTGCATTTCTTTTATGGCTAGAGAAGTTGAGCATTTCTCATGTGTCTATTGCCCATTCTTATTTCCTCTTCAGAGAAGTCTCTCTTTAAATCTTTAACCCAGTTATTATTGGGGCAGTTGTTTCTTTGATGATTTGTTGTTGGGGGATTTAATTTTTTGAGTTCTAAGTATATTTTAGATATGAGTCCCTTGTCTGTGTATGGCTACTGAAGGTCTTCCTCCAGACTGGGTTTTCAATTGATCTTACTAGCTATGGGGAAAGACTATTGTTACTTTTTCTTTTTAACCGTGGGTATTGAACTCGGGTCTGGGAGCTGTCCCTGAGCTCTTTTTCTCAAGGCTAGCACTCTACCACTTTGAGCCACAGTGATACCTTTGGTTTTCTGGTGGTTACTTGAAATAAGAGTCTCAAGACCTTTGCTGGCTGGCTGGCTTTGAACCAAGATCCTCAGATCTCTGTCTTCTGAATAGCTAGGATTACAGGTATGAAACACTAGCACTCAGCTTGTTACTTCTTTTTTAAGATGGATAAATAGTGTCACATCAGCAGATTCATTGCAAGGCAACTATTCTTCCTTGTAGTATAGGAGAACATGATCACTTATGTTTGGTCTTCTCACGTTCATAAACTCAAGGGAGTTGATACATCTGCATTTTGGAATGGGAACTAGAATCTTAGGTCTCTTCAAATATTATCTAGAACTCAGGTTTTCTTTTTCTTTTCTTTTTATTTATTTTATTTATTTATTTTTGTCTGTCATGAGGTCTGAACTCTGGGCTTGGGCGCTGTCCCTCAGCTCTTCAGCTCAAGGCTAGTGCTTGACCACTTGAGCCACAGCACCACTTCTGGCTTTTTCTGCTTATGTGGTGCTAAGGAATTGAATCCAGGGCCTCATGCATGCAAGGCAAGCACTCTACCACTGAGTCACCTTGCCAGCCAGTTTTTCTTTTTATGTGGAGCACAATTTTATTCAGGTATCTCAGAGCATAGCCCAGAAAATATTGGTTTATAAGCAGTGAAAAGCTCAGATACAATCACAAAGAGCCACAGAGGAGTTTTAAGTACTTTTATAGATGGAGATGGGAAAAGAAATCATAGACTGGATGCTTCTTTATCTGATACTAAGGAGCTTCTTAATTCATAGACAAAGAATTTCTGTAAATATTTATATTTTTATCAGGTCTGAGATAAAACAAGGGTCTACTATCTCTTGTTAAGGCTTTTAAATTTGCTTTTGAGACCCTTAGACATGTACAATGTTTTAAAGTTGAGATTTGATGCTTTTTAAAAATGTTGAACCACTGAATAGCTTCACTTCGCAGGAATACCGAAAGTAATCCAGTGGTAGTTGGTATTTCTGTTTTCGTAATGACACATAAAATATTCACCGGAAGCGAAAGTAAGAGCTGACTAGTCCTTGGTCTGTCTTATCACACAGGTTGATCCAGAACTGGTGGTCAAGACATAAAATCAAGCGAGGAATACAAGATGCTTCCATCCCTCAGTGGGAAAATGACTGGAATCTGCAGCCCATGAACATTCATGGACTGATGGATGAGTACTTAGAAATGGGTAAAGATCTGATACCCTGCAAACCTAACTGGCTGATTTGATGTTGTCTATTTACTTCACATAGGCTTTTCTTCAAGAAAGAAACTCATCTTCTACACACACCCTGAACACTAAAACCCATCTGTAACGTCACTCAAAAGAGCCAGATGTGTGAGACAGTGCCCACATGTTTACTTCAAAAGGAGTTATAGTATTTGCACAAACTGAACATTCTTCTTATGATGGAGCACCTACCATTTGATAATATGTTGATGAAATGAAGTAAAGCTGAATACATACTTTTATAAAGAAGGATAATATGCTGCTCACATGGAGTAATATTTCCCAATGAAATTTTTGTTAAATCCAGCTGCTTCAGATATATATATATATGATTCTTGAAGCAGCTGGATTTAACAAAAATTTCATTGAGAAAATGTTTATACACACATATATCTATACTCCTAGCTACTAAGGAGGCTGAGATCTGAAGGATCTAGGTACAGAAGCAGTCTGAGCAGAAAAGTCCACAAAACACTATCTCCAAGATTAAGCAGCAAAATGCTGTCTGCAGGTTTGGCTCGAGTAATATAGCACCAGCTAAGCAAGCAAGCTGAGCAAGCTGGAAGCCCTGAGTTCAAACCCTGGTACTGACAAGATGAGGAGAGAAGAGAAGAAAGGAGGGGGAGCAGAGGGAAGGAAAGACAGGAGAAAAGAAAAAAGATTCTCATGATTACTATTAGAATTACGGATTGATTACTGATTACTACCAAAATTACTGATCCAGTTTTCTTATGTATAAAAAAGACAAGATGTAGGTACTTTGAGTCCCTTTGCAGGTCCTAACTTCCCGGTCTTACCCCTTTTTTCTCTATCTCTCTGTCTTTTTCCTACTCTTCAGTTCACCCCATGCTATTTCCCATCTTCACCCTTTCCATTTTCTTCTCTCTCTTTCTTTTGCTTCATGTTATATGGAAGTAAATAGCACGTAGATTTACTCCATCAAATCTGATTTTTAATATTCTTATTATATAATTTTTAATATTTTCTATCCATGTATTCTTTTGCAAATCTGCTCAACACTTTTGAGCTTATGCTTCCTCATCTACAAAATTAGATAAGCATATTTATTATCTCTGCAAAGAATTAGAGGCAATCTCTGTAAACTTCTCCCTTTTGGGACAATAAGGCAGTAAATACATGATACTGTTCATATTATTAACTCACCAGTGTTCTCCTTTTCCAGTTTTGCAGTTTGGTTTTACCACGATCTTTGTTGCGGCTTTTCCTCTGGCCCCTCTTTTGGCTTTGTTAAACAATATCATCGAAATAAGACTAGATGCATATAAATTTGTTACCCAGTGGCGAAGGCCTCTGCCAGCCCGAGCAACTGACATAGGTAAGATTGAAAAGCTAAATGTTATTTTATGTGAGGACAGTGCTTGTACCCTTTCTGCCTTCCAGCCTTCTGCCATGTGAGTCACAATGGCTGCTACCTGCAGAGCATGCCAGAAGCAAGGAATGTGACTTCCACTACCCAGTGAACCTGAGACTGCCTTGATCTTGGATGTCTCAAGCCTCTGGATTGGTGAAAAATGTATCTCTGTTCTTTACAAATTATTCAGTCTTGGAATGTTGCTGTAGCAACTAGCAACCCAAATGGACGAAGATGATATGACTGGATCTTAGCACCAAAGGATTTCTATTGTGGGGCTACTTATTAACTATATCTGATTTAACAGTTATAGTTAAGAAAGGAATACAATGAGTTCTAAGTTTAGAGTCTTTTCCTATTAAACATGCTATTTCATAAGCTCATGTGTAATTAAAAGAATTCAAGAACATTTTCAACACCAGTAAGTGTAGTTCTGACTCATTCTTTCTGATTGCTGCAAAGAATTCTATGAAGTACTGGAACTTTTCCAGATCAACACTCTAGATATAGTTAGATGACTTCGATCTCTTACAACACCAAGGTGAGCATCTTTGAGCATAGTTAGATTATTTCCTGACTGGAACACCTTTCCATACATCAGGTACATTTACATTTTCTATTCAAAGCTAAAAATACGTTTTCTGGGAATTTTGTGCCAGTTTGCTCTCCTTTGAAGTGTAGGAGTGTGAATTTTCCCAGTTTTTGGCACAATAAGGATTTCTAAAAATGGTTTTCTTAAAATTTGAAGTGGGAAAAATCACCATTTTATAATTTATTTGGACTTTTATTACTATGAGGCTACATATACTTGTATCTTTCCTTTTCTAACTGTGTATGCACTTTGGTTATTATGTGCAATTTGGTGATCACTGTCTCCAACAACAATTTTTTTCACTCAGTGTTTTTATTTTTGTGTCTTTATTGTTTCTGTGTGATATTCTGCTATTATTTATTTGTCCCCTGTTGGCATTTTATGATTTTATTTAAATTGTTGGTCTGTATTGAATTTGATATTCATCAAATTGAATCAGTTTCATTCAAATGCTTCATTTCCCCCAAACTATCTAATAAATAATACACACACACACACACACACACACACACACACACACATACATATGGGATGTATTTGAATGTCTCTATTATTGTCTGCTAAATTTTACATAAACTTAGCTATACTTCTCTAGTCCATTTGTCTCATTAATCTGACTACCTACTGTGTATACTATTTAACTTACATGTAGTTTTATTATAGAAAGTTCAAGTGTATTTTAATGCAATTCCTCATTATTCTTTTTCTAGTTTAGAATACGTATAGTATCTATATGGTATTAAATAAAATATTAGCTAAACATATAAAAACATATATATATATATAGCTAATACTTTATGGTTTACTTTTTAATTTTACTCATGCACATATTCCAAACCTCCAAAATGACTTTTTTTTTTTTGTGAAGTAAGCTAGGCCCAAAGAAACATAGGTCCCATGGTTTCCCTTATTTGCAATAACTGGTATATGTCTGAGACAAGCAGAAACGGTCAGATAACTTGATGTTAGGCAAAATGAACCCCAAGATAAGGATTCAAATGTTTTTTCTTTCTTGCGATTGTTTCTAACATATTTATAAGATGATTTCTTTGTTGCTTTGTATGTCCCTCCCCCACGGTATAACCCCTACTTTCACTGTATTTGATGTTAGGTAAAATGAACCCCAAGACAAAATGATTATTTAATACATAGTATTCAGTAGCAAATGAATAACATTCAATTTGAGTTCCTATTTATTTTTGATTCTTATTTTCTAAAACAACTAAAATTAGTATTGTTCTCTAACTTCAGTACAATTATTGATATGATTATTAAGTAATAAAAGCATACTAAGAAAGCCTAGAAAATAAGTAAAAAAAGGAAATGAAATTTTCATTCCAGTCAATGTTAGATAATTGTTATTTAAGCTTATCAGACTTGACTTCACTAAACCAGAAAACATAAAACTATGAAGTGAGAGAGATAATAATTGTTCCTCGTTCTTGCTTTGCTCCTCTACCCCAGGTAATCAATACATAAATATGGCATTGTTCTCTGTCAGTGTTTGCCCTGCACTTGGACTTGTTCTGTACATACAGGTTTTTGTGTACTTTTATTCATGAACAGCCACCACAAAATAATTTTGTATTTTAATAAAATACAATATTTATACAATGAGCATATGAAAATATTATAATGATGTACTTATTTTTCCACTGTAAGCATAATAAATATAGCCATAAGTAAACATGAACATAGACTTGGGTATAACATACAAGTTATCCCACATACAATATTTATAAATGTGTGTATTTGTATATCTTCAATGACATTATTGTAATTCTGACTCTTATAATTGCTGCAAAGAATTCTGTTAGGTGCTGGAATATTTTCTAGCACTTTAGAACCCAAATATTAGCCAATTGATTATTAGGCTAATTAATAAAGGTTAAAATAAATCATACATATATAATATACTTGACTTTTACTGTCTATTGGGCTTACTTGTAGATCTATAGGCACATTCTAGTAATTACAAATGAGGGAAATCATACACCAATGTTTCTTTAGGTCTGGCTTACTTCACTTAGCATAATTTTTCCAGGTCTTCCCATTTTCTCATGAATGCAGAGTATCATTCTTTCTGCTGGAAGCATTTAATTTTATTGTGTATATATATATAACATATTTTCTTGATCCATTGATCCACTGAGGGGCATCTGGGTTGAGTCCATCTCTTGGCTATGGTAAACAATGCTTCAGTGAACATGGTCATGCTGGTGGCTGTAGTGTAGCCTGGTTTGTGGTCAATTGGATAGATGCCCAGAAGTTGAATTGCTGGGTCATAGGGAAACTCTGTGTTTAGTCTTTTGAGGAACATCCATATTGCTTTCCAGAGTGGTTGAACAAGTTTACATTCCTACCAACAGTGAAGTAGTGTTCCTTTTTGGCCACATCCCAGCCAGGACCTATTCTTGTTAGTTTTCTTGATAATGGCCAGTCTACCTGGGGTAAGGTGGAATCTCAACTTTGTTTTTTGTTTTGTTTTGTCTTGTCTTTTTAACCAAAATTACTATTATTTTTTAATTTTATTGTCAGGGTGATGTACAGAGAGGTTACAGTTACCTAAGTAAGGTAGTGAGTAAATTTCTTGCCAAACTTGTTAAACTCTCCTTCATTTTTCTCTACCTTCCCTCCTCTCCAACCTCCTTTCCCTCAGTTGTACAGAACATTTCCAACCTATTTTCTTGTGAATATCACGCATTGATTGTTTTGAGTTGCATTTCTTTTATGGCCAGAGATGCCAAACATCTCTTGTTGTGTCTATCGGGCATTCTTATTTCTTCTTCAGAGAAGTCTCTCTTTAAGTCTTTAGCCCATTTTTTAATTGGGTTGTTCTTTTAGATATGTGGCCTTTGTCTCATGTTTATCTAGTATAGATCTTTTCCCATTCTGTGGGCCTTCTATTTATCAGTTTGAAACTTTTAAATATACTTATTGGTTATTTTAATTTGCACAGTAAATTGTTGATTTATACCATTTTCCATTGAATTTTCCCAATTAGTTTAGGATCTTATGAAAATTAGCCATTTGTCTTTCAAGCTATTTTTCTTTTGATTCAACATTATGACTTCCATAAAAATAAATGTTTATTTTGATATGCTGAAATAGATATATTTATACATTTTGCTTTCTTATTTCTGCCATTAAGTAAAATGTATATTATTTAATTTTTTATTAAAATTATTAAAAAATTGAAAACACAAGACAGTGAAGAAAGTTCTCCTGCTATCCAGTTACCTTAGCACATTTGAATATTTTTCCCAGACATTTTTATTAAAATTTTAAAATCTAAGTTTAATCCCACTTGAAATACCAGTTTTGATTATAATCAATAGTATATTGAGTCTTCATACAACTGTGAAGCTTTTGTGTGTGCCTATATAATACTAGCTTGACATTCTAAGAGGGAGAAAATATCAACTAATACCTTATTACTTAATACCAAACTGGGTTATTGTTTTTATATTTCTACTTTAAAAATATTTTAAAAAAATTTCAAAAGAAAATTAAGAGTAAATGTAGATATTTCTCAGCATATACAACCATGAAGCATTTAAAGATTTTTATTGCTTTTATTGTCTCAATTAATTCTTTCAGGCTTTGAAATATCTAAGACACTTGTTCATGTCTCATCATTACAGATCTAAACACAGGCCTGAAAGAGTTTAACTTTTCAAACATTTTAGATGCTTCTACCTTCCACTTGTAGAAAAAAGTATACAAACAGATACAATGTCTGGAGCTAGATATAGTGCTTAAAAAGCAAATAAAGGACAGACTTGTGGCTTTGACAGGAGCAAGATTGATGTGACAATTCTCATACTTTTCTGTTTTTTCCTGGGGTTTAAACTCAGGGCCTCACTTGCTTGCTTATTTTTCTTCTCAAAGCTGGCCCTCTACCACCTGACCATACCTCTACTTCTAGCTTGTTGCTGGTTAATTAGAGATAATTGTCTCATGGACTTTTCTGCCTGGGATGTCTTTGAACCCACATCTTCAGATCTCAGCCTCCTGAGTAGCTAGGATTATAGGAACCAGCCACCTATATCCAGCTCATATTGTTTGTTTTTATGCATTATAGTTAAACTTTCTCCCCACCAGGTATCTGGCTTGGAATTCTGGAAGGAATCGGTATATTGGCAGTGATCACCAATGCTTTCGTAATTGCTATTACATCTGACTACATCCCACGTTTTGTCTATGAATACAAATATGGCCCCTGTGCTAATCATTCAGGACAGAATGAAAAGTAAGGTTGAAATTTACACATTTTCCTCATTGGTTTTATGGGTGTCATTAAAATGAGAGTTTGAGGGAAATTTTGTTCTATGACCATAAAAAGCAACATTTTACATCATTGCATTTACTTTCTGTTTATTAGATCTCAGGTAGGTTAATAAAAATGTGTTTGTATAGCAAATGATTTTAGAATCTCTCATGCTAATATCAAAATGCTGTAAGTCAGGTTCTAGAAATGCAAGAGACTTCAGGTATTATCCAATACAATCTTCTCACTGTATAGATGGAATGTGAAGCTCACACAGGTGGACATATAGTTAATAGTTCGAGAAAATTCAAAACAAGAAAAGACTGCAACCTATGAGCCTGGAGATTTCCCAAATTAATGCACTGCCTGGGGGGTAGGGGTGGGTTGAGGTCTAGCATGTTAAAATTCATACTTTATGTTAATGTTTATCAGCCTCTGAGTTATTGATATTTTAAAGCATGTGGTTCTTTTGAAGAAGAAAATGGGTTCTTTTGCAGCATGCCCAAATTTTACCTAGTACATCTCCATAACAACCATCATATTCCCCAAGCTGTAACAACCAAAAATTATCTCCACTTGTCACGTAGTCTAAAACCATTGCTTTAGTTAGTGCATGTTTTTCCAGATCTTTTTTATTGAAAGGCATAAGTGAGTACTCAAGAGGGCACTAGATCTTGAGAACACAACAGAACTAGAGTCCATAAGGAAGCATTGTAGCTGGAGATCAGTAGAAGAGTGAATAGTGAAAGAAGAATCATGATATGAGAAACTCCTCCTCCCTCCAAGAGCTTTGGGCATGAGGCCGAGCAGGACACAGGTCATGTGTCCCAATGAGATGAACCTTGGTTTAAAATGAAATGAGCTCTGAATTCAGCTGCTAAGTTGATGCTTTCTCAGAACACTGCAACACCTTTGAACGCAAACATCCCAATATTTCAATGAGAGATAGTAACGATGAAGGGATTGTTTTATTTTACATGCTGCAGATCTTAAGGCATTTTCAATCAGTCATCTTAAGAGTTAGATTTAACTCTTCCTTTGTCTAAAATTTACACTATTCAGTTGACTTGGTTGGTTCATGACAGAAAGTATTACGTCCTTATGACTAAGAAATGATATCTAAGATAAAGTTTTCTGAAATGTAATATACCACGTGAACATGGTTGCTCCAAAAGTAATAGTGAACAAAACAAAAGTCCATGTTTTCCCTTAATTCAAATTGGTTTATAAGCAGATTTTAAGAAATTGAAATATATAGTAGGCTTGTGTGATGGCCCTCTCAGATAATATTTCCTAGTAGCTCTATTGCCACCTAGTGGTAGGTACAGATGAGGTTGGCTAAATAACCACCTTTCAGAACCTGGCTTACACATGGACAGCATCTGACTCCTCCAATATTCAGGGACTAGAGATGAAGGGTAATCTCAAGGAAAGAGGTGAAGGACTTTTAATTGACTGACACCACACATTCAGTGCATTTAGCAGTTCAACTGGGGTAGATTCATTCAGATTAGAAATTTTCAGAGCAAGATGACAGAAAAACAAGATGGTGGTGAAGAGAGAAATAGCAGCAGAGAAATTGTAAAAATGATAACTTGTGTGGTCTAGAGCAGACATGGATGACACTTAGAATAATATTTCAAAGAAGTTAACTAATGAGAAAGCCAAGAGAGGAACTATAGGGAGAGAAAGGCAAGGCAAAGTCTCCAAGTATCATTACTGATTTGGTAAGAGTTAGGGATGGAACAAAATAGCAGATGTTCTAGTGGATAGTTAGAATGCAAGAAATAATGACATTTAGAAGATTCCATCACAGCTAATGAAGAACTCGTAGTAGAAATTTATACGATCTCCGAATCACACAATCCTTTTCTTTTTGTCTCTTTCAGTTGCTTAAAGGGTTATGTCAACAACAGCCTATCTTTCTTTAACCTGAGTGAGCTTGGTATGGGAAAATCTGGTTATTGCAGGTATTTATTTTCAACTTATAGTTAAAAATTTGATTTCAGCATTGTATTTTTTCCCTACTGTATGTAAATGAACCCAATTAAACTTTCAGGCCTCTACCTTTTGTTCTATTTTTCATTCTGAGTTCTCATGGATTTCAGGTACCGAGACTACAGAGGCCCACCTTGGAGTTCCAAACCCTACGAGTTTACCTTACAATACTGGCACATCCTTGCTGCTCGACTGGCCTTCATTATTGTGTTTGAGGTTAGTCATAAACTCCGAAGAAAATTACTCTGAGTGAATGTGTTTCCAGTTCCTACTATCAGTTACCTCTTTGAAATCAGGATCATGCTAACTTCCAAAAAAAGTCTGAGTAAAAGCATCAGATTCAATGTCATCATGATAACAAGTTCCTAAGAACAAAAACTAGTGGAGGCTAGTGGCTATTTATATCAGAAGATATGTGCAAATGAAACTACTGCACAGTTGAACTGACAATGCTTGAGGCTCCTAGTTATGAGCTTCCCAGTAGCCAATCCCAAAAAGGAAAGGATGATAATCATAATTGGATGAAATGATCCATATCTAGTAAATAAGATAGAAACCTGAATTTCTGAACAAACAGCTTTGACCATAATTTGCATTTCTATAGGCTTCAGGCACACTCTTGGGTCATTTTACAAATTACATATTTAAATGGTTAGAGAAGAATCTCCTGATCATTTTACATTGTAGAATATGACCTGCTTCACTATGATCCACTTTGCAATACAGTCAAAAGCCCAGATAAAATACCTTGTATTCTTCTCCATACAAAGAGATGATTGTCTACTGAAATCCCTACGCCTTTTTGCACAGATTGCACCAACTTATCAGTATCACATTGTTCTTACTCCTTTCTGAGAAATTAAAAGACCTACTCTTTATAGAAAACAACAATAAAGATTCACTGATAGGACAGGAGCAATAATTGTTACATCTTGCCAAGTCTTCTTTAATCCCTTCACAAATGTGCAGTCATTTAACCCTTACACCAAACTTTAAGAGGTCTTGTTCTTATCAGCATTCTCCAAATAAGCAATAGAGTGTATAGTAGTTGCTAAAGGTTAGCTACTGAGTGCCAGAAAAATTCAGGTCAAGCAGTCTGATTCTACATCAGTATTTAACCTTGTGCTTGCTGGCTTTTGAGTTTTGCTTCTCCATTTAAAAAAGGAATACTTTCATGAATTTATTTTTAAAATGTAAGTGTGTAAGTGTAGAAGAATGATATCAAAGGCATAAATTACCTAACAGAAGACATGGTAATGTTTAAATTTTTAATACAGATTCTGAAAAATTAATATGTTGGGGATTGAGTCTAACCTGGGCATCACAGGTATAGTTTGTATGGTTTGTATGTGTCATAATCTATTGGGCATCAGTGTTTACTAGGTATGATCTTATTTATGTCTATGACAGTGTATTATAATAGTATTGCCTATGTAAGGCTTTTACAGGCATGGCTTTAAGATTATGCTGTTATTTATAGGGTAAAATAGTAAGCAGTTCTCTGCTACTTTCTGATGCTAATGTAATAGAAGAGAACAGTAGTATTCCTAACATATTTTTTTGCAAATATTAACACTGTAAACTAAGTTCTGATGCTCTATTTCAAGACAAATGCAACAGTGTTCGTGATTATTTTGTTTTGTAACTGGCTTTTCAGAATCTTTGAAATGTATACTTTCTACTCTTACGTTTGTAGCACCTCGTTTTTGGGATTAAGTCATTCATCGCATACTTGATTCCAGATGTGCCTAAAGGCCTTCATGAACGAATACGACGAGAGAAGTACTTAGTCCAAGAAATGATGTATGAAGCTGAATTAGAGCATTTACAACAACAACGGAGAAAAAGTGGTCAGCCTGTTCACCACGAATGGCCTTAGTAGTCCTACCTGTTGCCCAGTAGAGGTGGCACAATTAGTGTAAAGCCATGACTGTAACTTGAAATGTAGATGTTATCTAGGAAGGTCTATTCAACAAACCATATATTTAATACTGCTTGGAAATGTATCACATCAGTCTTGGGAATTTGGAATGTTTACACATTAATGGAAGAAAAAAAAAGGTGATTCATGATTAAAAACAGGGATAGACTGACATTGTAGGAAGCCAGGATCTAATTCTCAGAGCAAGCCTTCAGGGAGCTGAGCTGTTTAGAGATCTCCCCTTCTGTCCATTGCAATGTAATGGAAAGAGTGGTGGTAAGGTCGCTAAAGACAGATTTCCACGTAAATGGCCACAGCTCAGGCATGCCTTGGAGTATTCACTTACCTACTAAGGTAAGTATTCACTTACCTACTAATCCGATTTTGGAAATTTTATTGTCCTTGAGGTGATCATAAGAAACGACTTAAATCAGTTATTGCCTTTGAACCAGAATGCCATATCCCTTCAGCTTACAGGTTGGCAGAAATTGCCTTGACTCTTGTTGAAAATGTGGACCAATGTCACAGAATTTATGCTGCTGCTTTACATCAACTATGCAGTTTGATGAGTTGCACATCATCTTTTATAGTCAAACCAAAAACCTAAGATTCAAAAACAAAGCAAAACAAAACAAAGCCCACCGCATATTGAAAATAATATCCTGTTGCTTTGGCTACATTCAAGCCTGTTAATCGATGGCACAGCCAGTTGCATTGCACATTTTTATACTAACTGCTATTAGAATACTTAGAAAATATGAATGGCTATTCTTTAAAACACAGCCAATCCTTATTTTATTGCTGAAGGTTATTTTATAGGATATTTCATTACAAACCGCACATAATTTTACCTGTACATATGTTGATTTTCCTTATACATCCACAACTTGACGTTAGGTAGTGCATTCCAGTTTATGCAGCTCTGAGACCAATTACACAGCATGTTCTTGAATCTTGTCCATTCTGGAAACCCAAAGCCAGATGTTTCAGCAGCACCTGTCCTTTTCTACAATGTGCACTCTTAATTATTACTCAGTGAAAAATATGCATGTCTAGACATCTATATTGTTCGTATAAATGAATTTTACTTTTTCATCACTGACAAAACATTTCCACTTATTACTTCTTTGACCAATTGACATGGCTCACTTTTGAAAACTCTTGAGAAGCAACGTCAAATTTGATTTCATATGGAATTTTTCTTTCATAAATTTTATCTTATATGGCATTTCCCTGTCAACTCTGTCTGTTCACAGACTACTAGAACAGAATCATAGGGCACCCAACTACAGGAAGTCCAGAGGAGGCATAAGCCAGCAGGGAGGGAGAGAAAGACAGGAATATATGTAAAAATCAAGACATTTTCATTGTTAGAGGAGGATAGCTAAGTATTCCCTTTCTAGGAACAGTGTGGGAAATCACACATACATTTATATAATTATTATAATTGTGATTATTTTCTCAATTAATTTTTTTCCAATTATGCCAAGCACAGTTATTTCCCCAATTTAAAAGACCAGGTTAGGAGCAACAGAAATTAAGTTATGGTACATGGTAGTATATTTTATTAGGGAAATTACATTTTCACTTACTACAAAACTATTTTTTATAACTTTAACACTTAAACTGTTTGGTTGACTTTAACTTCATTTACTCCCGAGTAAAGCTAATAAATAATGGTTGTTTCATAAGTTTGTCAAGAATATTAACTTCCCTACCAGTCCCTGTGATTCTGAGTGAAAGAGCCTGAGACTCCAAATAGACTCTCAGAGTCTGCAGCTCAGTGATCGAGCCCTTGTCTAGCATTCAAGAGGCCCTGGGTTCAATCCTCAAAACAAAGTAAGGAAGGAGATTCTCTCAGAAATCCTTGCTGCAGCAGATTCTTCTATTCCCATTATACTACAAGACCACTAACTCTTCGAAAGAAATGTCAAACTCCTCTTTTTCTGTAGCACTCCATTTCCTTTTATTTGCTAATTAAATGTATACCTATACCTAAGTATAAATATTCTCTATGTTGACCTAGTATATATTTTTACAAATGAAGGAAATAAAACAGAGATTTGTCTTACAGTACAGCAAAAAAAAACCTATATTTTTTGTCTTTGAAAATTCTTCTCTTTCCAATTTTTTACAGCTCCATCATGTTTAAATCATATTCATTGATATGCAAAGAAAGATATTTTAATGAGAATTGTAATTGGCTACTGCAGAAAATACCTTCCCTAAATTTAAAAGTGATGTGCAAAGTAGACAAAAAAATCTATTGAAGTCTTTGTGTAACTGTAATAAAACCTAGCTCTGCCTTCATTTATAGTGACAACAAAATACCCACAATCCCTCACAGGATGTTAGTTTTAGATGACTCTGCTTTAGTCAAGAGAAATGTTTTTTATCTTCTTTTTCATATAAATGTTATCTTTCAAAGTTTGTAGCATACACTATTCTCAGGAATTCTGTATTACATGAATGCTGCTTATATATTTTCATATTCTATCTTGTCTTTTTAAGCAAATACTAATCATTATGTGCATGCAGTCTGCCTTGACAAGTTGCCCAGGGCTTGAAGAGATTTCACAGTTCAATGTGTGGAAAATCACTCTAGATTATAGCTGAAATACTCTGTAACTGTGTGAGTCTGTGTATGCACGTTTAGATAAAATGCTGCTGAGTGACTGCATGTTGACATGCAACTTCTGAATGCTGCACTTCCTTCCAAAGTGACTCTTAGTACAATCTGTTGTACAATGGAATGAATACAATTTTTTCACTCAATAAATTATCATTTGCTTTGGTATTTCTTTTTTTTTTTTTTTTACTATAATTGGTATGTTAAACGTAATTCTGTTGGTTTTCATGAATACAAAATTGACACTTGTTGGATATGTAAAGGGAAGGGAGGATTACTCATTCAATAGTACTCCAAAGTAATAGATTCTGATTCATTCAGAAACTTACCCTATCCTTACCCACCTTAGCTAGTTTCTGATAAGATTATCATTATTTTTGACATGTTTCACGTTAAAGTGGGAGGGGAATATTCTACTAGTCCTAATAACATTTGTGCTAGGACCTGATGAGAGAAAGAACTTGATTGCGTCCTTCTAATACATGTAAGTACGTACATTTTTACACACACAATCTTTCTCGTCAGTCACCAATATGATGTCCCTGGAACAGGAATTTTAGCTCAGATATATTGCATGCCAAGGTGGAAGTCTGGGCAAGGGAATTATACATGAAAGACATCAAAAGATATCAACTGATCCTTGTTTCTTTGATGGTTAAAATAGAAAGTTTAGTTGCCTGCACAATTAAATGATATTCTTTTTGATTGATTAGTTGTTCAACAAGGGAGAGGTAAGGCTCAGGATATGTACACACTTGTGCACTTGTGTGCACGCACACACACACACACACACACACACACACACACACACACACACACACAGTCTCCTACTTTGTATAAGAATCAACAGTTCCTGTCTATGAGGTACATTCTACTCATTTGTACTATGGTAAAAATATTCTTATTAAATTTTTCCTTAAAGTGCTTTCCTTAAAGTGCATTAGAATGAGCTTCAAGAGTCATTCTAGGTTTTACACATGAAATCAAGTAGCATCTTATTATTCTGGTTTTCTTAGCAGTCCAAAGAGAACTCTTATAGGTAGACTAGGGGAAAAAAGTCTCTAATAGAAGGTCAAGTGTTTCCTGTATGTATTGCTATTCAAAATGTTGTCTGGATCAACATTACTTAGACCAACGGAAAGATTAATGGAGCTTTAGCTTGAATCATTTATCAGTCCAGCTTCCTGCTAACTAAAGGTTTTGTAGCGATGGTGAGTGGTTTATGGTTAAACTTTGACTTCTTTGATGTGTTAGTAAAAATGCAGGTTGTCTGTAGACTTCATCAGCTGATATGCTTGGCTGATTAGTTGTTTAGTTGGGGACAAATAAGATGGAGGGTAGGGAGGTGTACACACACACACACCACACACACACACACACACACACACACACACACGTTGTCACACACTTTGTATAATAAATAGCACATTTAGTGTGTGAGGTGTGCCTGATTCAGTCATACTATGGCCAGACTTTGGGTTCATATGAAATGTTATAACCATTACCATATTTGATGGCTTTTTCACAGAGAATATAAATGTTATATCCACTATATCCTGGCCTCATCCATACTAACATTTTTATTTGAAGAAGAAAAAAATAATAGCTAGATTGATCAAGAACTGCCTCATATCTGGGACCAGTTCCAGTTTCTAGTACCATCAAAGTTCACTGGCAAACTTTAAATGAATAAACCACATAAAACTAGTTGGATCATGAGTCAAAAGAAGCTTAGGTAACTGGGACAGATGTTTCTAAACACATTTTGGAAATATGTTTGTTATAATACATGAATTTTTTCTAGAAATTCCTGAGGACAGATAGTGTGATATATGCAAAAACTATCATTAGACATAACTTTTCCTTGTATGTAGTAACAACTTTTATTTGGTTATAAAACTCATTAAGATTTGCATATTAGATGGTCTTTATATCTGAGTGTGTCTTTCCTACAAGCTAAGTAGACCAAATATTTTAGACATTACCCGAATCACTGAACAAAAGTGGTTATAGAGTGTGCCAAAGCCTGTTATGAAATGTTCCACAGGTCAACTGATAGACCTGTATTTATTAAGTATACATAAAAGATTTTAGGGTAGACTATTTTGCCTCTCACTCCTGTTGAGAAAAAATTTACAGTGATAACTCCAGTGTTATTAAATTAGTATTTATTTTAAAAGGAGTATATTAAATAATTATGTTCCAGTTATAACATTGTCCTAACATTTATTTTTTTTTATTCTACAGTTCACTCTTTCTGAAAATACAATGTTAAATCTAGTCCAGGCTTCTAGAATTTTTGAAAAATGACGTAAAATTTTTAGAAATA